AGAGGATGCCGAGATTGAGCCAGAGGCTGATGAACTGTATGACGTTGAGAGGCTGCTACGATGGAGATGGGTAGCGCCCAGTGGCAGGAGGCACAAAGAATGTTTAATGCTATGGACAAGGTTGAATATCGACAATACCTCCTAGATACCGGCAAGAAATTTCACCTATGCCAAGGAGCTCCAGAAGATGATCAAGTGGGACAAGCTTGAGGAAGACACTAGTATGGGAAATTGTGTTTTCGGGGGCAAAAGCTACCCCAAGGGGGAATAATGTGACGTGGTTACTGGGGGTTAGGTAGTTACTGACATTTTCTAAAGTGGCGATTACGTAACTTGGGATTTGGGATATCGACCTTTTGGGAGTGTTATTTAAAGCTTCTTGGTTCCAACGCATCTTTAAACGCCCAATTCCATTAAGAAACGGCGAAGATATGGCCTCCTAAAGTTACTGTACTTATAGCCAAGGAAGTCGGGTGTTAGATGCTTGGAATTAGAGGACAATTGGTCGACCATAGATGAACGGTGGATGGTGACGATGTGCCTAGACACGCACATGTGTTGTCTTGTCTTGATGTGGTAGCGATGGACCTGCGATCGGGCATCGCGTATGCGATATGTGCGCACATATTGTGAATCTATGTAACACCGTTCTGGCCCACTCTCTGGCCTTCCGCGAGCTAGAGAACCACTGCCTCACTGTGCTGCCACCGCTCGCCAATAGCAGGCCCCGGGGATCGATCCCCGTCGAGCATTGGGCCCACCATGCGACCACCGATTCGACTGCCCCGGATACGCCCATTGTCCGAGGTGGAGAGAGCCGGATGACCTCCAACAGCCGAGCCGCAAGGCAGGGGGACTGTTGCGGCCCCGTTGGCAGCCGCTGGTTTCTGGAGGCGTTGGGGTCGCCCTGCCCTGCAGCTCGGCTGTTGGAGGTCAGCCGGCTCTCTCCACCTTGGACGGTGAGCGTATCCGGGGCAGTCGCTCCTGTGGTCGCGCGGTGGGCCCAATGCTCGACGGGGATCGATCCCCGGGACCTGCTGTCGGCGAATGGTGGCGGCGCAGCGAGGCGGTGGTTTGCTGGCTCGCGGGAGGCCAGAGAGTGGGCCAAAATGGTGTTACAACGACTCACTGCATGCGCGCGCACATATCGCATGCGCGATGCCCGATCACGGGTCCATCGCGGTCACATCAAGGCAAGACAAGTCAAGTGCGCGTCCAGGACATCGTCACCGTCCACCGTTCACCTACGATCGACCTAATGTCCTCTAATTCCAAGCGTCTAACACCCGACCCCCTGGCCCTAAGTACTACGACTTCAGGAGGCCATATCTTCGTCAATTCTTAACGGAATCGGGCATTTAAAAGCTCGTTGGAACCAGGAAGCTCTAAATAACACTCCCAAAAAGGTCGATTTAGCCAATTACGTAATTCCCACTCCAGAGAATGTCAATAACTACCTAACCCCAAGTAACCACGTCACAAATGGGAGCATGAAGTGGTCCTGAGCTGTTCCCTGTCGACATCTTGCAGTTGGCGAGGTCGGCACACATCTGCCTGGCTCGTTTCGCACATGCTTCGATTGCCCATGCGAGTAGAACATGCTCCACATGCATCCAGCTATTGTGATCCCCCTAATCCTTGTAGCTTCCTCGTTAATGGGCCAAATCGCATCAAACTTGACCAACTATTAATAGACTTCCATTACATGATGGAGCAGGTTCCCCTTCCAAAGCTCTATTGAGTTGTCTCAATCACTTCATTGTGGATTGCAGAAATTGATCAAAAGTGCTCTATCTTGGCCCCTAAGGCCCATATCGAGCTGAGATTTTTACAAAAATCTTATGAGAAAAACTCCAATTTACCGGGGGAAAAGACAGACATATTGTATTTTGTCAGCCGATCATATCTATATCTCGGTGTCCTCTAGCTGGTCAAAATTTACGAATCGAGTGACCTGGGCAAACGTCTGGGTGGCCTGGCCATTTTCTTATTGTATTTTGCGCTCCTAACTGGTTCCCAAAGTCCCACACTACGCCTCAGAGGCTCGATATAGAGCGTTGAAATGACGGATATGCTGCATCGTGGGCAGTACATTTGCACATCCCCATAGAAGTTGATGTGTACCATATGATTCCACACGTTGCCCTAAACGCCGACTTGAATGGCACTCTCACAATCCTCACCGCCCTCCCCTATTTTATTCCAGCAAAATGGTGGCGCTTCGGCCCTTCTGTAACTCTGTTGGGTCACTCTCCTTGCGGGCTTCGAGAATTGGGATCGCGGCCTCCGCTGATAGGAGCCCTGTGTGGACCATCATTTACGGGTGGTCAACGCAGATGGATGGTTGCATTCCGCCCCGATGGATTCCGGCGCAGAAATGCTCCGCCAGCAATCCTGTGGCCTTGGACCTAGTCTATGTGCACTCGCATAGCCTCTGGGCTCGTGCGGGTCCACGCGGAGGGGTTGGCGTGGATTCGCCGTACTCCACGCAATCAGACGGGTTTTGAGTCATATTGTGGAGACGTGGGCGTGTCGATTCGTGGCATTTCCGTATGCACATCGTGCACGATTGGTGGTGTGGCTGCATATCGTTGATGTGCAACTCCTGAAGCTTCCTTGGTCCATCATCGACGTCCCTAAGTAGCGTGGATTGGTTTCCATGACGACTTTTGTGAGTGCGACTTTCGATGGTCCTTTTTCTGCTGGTCATATGGGGCGCTTTCTTACCACGTTTACTAATCCAACGATTGTGCACTTTTAGTCTTACTACTACCTCATAAAATGGCGCCCTGAACAAGATGCGAATGGTAGGCATGCATTAGCATGCAACGGCATTGAAGGCATCCTGCCATCTGTCAAGAGCTTGTGAGGCAGTCAACTGACCTGAGGACCTAACCTGTCAATGGCGCAAGCACATTGCACCGAACCGCCTACAATGGCTGCCTGGCTACAATACCGAACACCAGCTACTGCACATTACATTTGCCCGCGCGCACGCCCGTGTCTGCAACATGCGGTCGATTCCTGTGCATCCAAGGTGGTGCAAAGCAGCTCGTGGAAACTACCATCAAGGGGCAACATCAAAACACGATGTCGACCACCCCCCCCCGGGCTCAAAGACAGAAAAGCACCGTCAACGGGCCGACGACAGGTCCCCGACCACGGCGTGGGCGAATCGCTCCGGCGGCGGCAGCAGCCTGCCCCCCTTCCCTCCCCCCTCCGCGTCGCCCAGCTGCCCGCACGCCGCCATCTCCCCCCTCCCCCGTCCGAACCTCACCGTGCACAGCACCCCGCCGTCGCTCACCACCCTCTGGAACGCCTCCACCCTCTCTCGGGGCGACGCCCTGAAGATCGACCCCCGGTAGGCATTGAACTCGATCAGGTTGATCGAGCACTCCACGCGTCCCGTCAGGGCCAGCAACCGCCTGGCGTCGTCGTCAGAGTCGTTGATGCCATCCAGCATTACGTACTCGAAGAACACCCTGCGCCCTCTGGCCGTCCTCCCCACCGGGAAGGCTTCCTCGAGAACGGCCATCAGATCGGCCAGACCGTGGCGGCGGTTCACGGGCGCGATCCAGTTTCGCACCTCGTCGGTGGTGGCGTGCAAGGAGACAGCCAGCTGGGCGGGTGAGGCGGCCAGGAAGGCCCGGACCTGGTGGACCAGGCCGACCGTGGAGACGGTGACCTTGTTGGGGGAGAGGCGCAGGCCGGCGGGGTCCAGCATGATGTCGCAGGCGGTGCAGACGGCCGGGAGGTTGTCCAGGGGCTCGCCCATGCCCATGAAGACGACGTTCGTCGCCTCGCTGGGGCTCTGGTCCACGGTGCCGGACTCCTTGGCGACGAGGCGCCTCGCGGCGACGACCTGCGGGCGGAAACCAAGCGATTGGGGGCTGTTTGCGTGCGTTCCATTTTCAGTTCGTGATGGCGCGTGTGGGGGTGACGAAGGCGGGCAGCCCCTGACTGGGCCCGGCAGGCTCGAGCACACGGACGCGGTTTACAGCCGTGCAAAGGGACAACAGGAATTCTGTCCCGTGCATCCTGTCCGTTCTTCAGTGTCCTTAATTCAGTTCCTGTTGACTCATCACCTCTTGATGTGTCCAACCACTGATGCTAGTCGATCAGATCTGGTTACAACAGCGCCTTGGGTTTCGAGCTCGTGGCCTATTAAGTTCTGGCAAATGGAAAACCGGAGAGCACGACTGCAGACAGTGGCGCTGCCTGCGCCTCTGCAGGAGGGGTCACAAAAGGACAACTGTCAAGGGTGCTGCAGATCACTAACCTTGAACTACCACTGCATGCATTGCATTGGAGTAATGGCGACATACACCAAAAGGCATGAAGTCCCACAGGCTCATTTGGAATCCTTTGGCCATCAAAGGACGGAGATGCTTCCGTTTGGGGTTTTGTGTGCAGAATCGGTTTGGTGAAGGCTGTTCAGCGATGGAAGGAAACTACTGAACAGCATTAAGCAACAATACTACCAAGCAGTATCAAGCGGGTGTTCCCTGTTTAACAAGGAAATCATGCTGCAAATCAGAAAGCAATGCGTCGGAAGGGACAACCAAACTGGCTATGCAGAATCTAGGGCACATCATTAGGCGTATGTGTTTAATTTACATACATAGCCATGGCTTCAGTGCGCAACCCAGATAAAATCTGCAGAGTAACGGCGCCTGCACCTATGATGGGCTTTCTTTCAAATATGCACAAAATCAGGCTCACCTCGAGAAGACTGCCAGACACTCGATCTGCTTGGTAAATAATGAGTGTTCAAGACGTTCGTGCAGTCTAACCGATCAGTGCCAATGTGCAAGGTGCGTGTCTGCCTTGTACATAGCAGATTTTGACCAAGGAACACCCGCTCAAGCCTAAACCAGCAGTCCTCAGAGAGGAGGTATTGTAACAGATCTATTATGACACCCTTCTTCCACGGGTGAACGTTGGCAAGGCGGTTGGCAAACAGGATTGTGTTTTAGCATTCTCCCAGTTATCACTCCGCAGCCAATTTTCATCATTTAGGTAAGCTGTCTGTGGGCACTTCTTGTTGTTGTTGCGTTGGATGGTCACTGTGGCAATCTCGAAGTGGAGTGTGCTATCGGTTGCCACAACACTGCGTTTCAACCGCTGCAGCGCAATGCACAGTGATGAACTCCATAAATAAACACAAACGAAAGATTAAACGCATTGAAACTATGCAGCCTATCCCGGAACGACATGCATCACACCCGGCCACCAGCTTACCTGTTCGACGATTTGAGCTGCGCTCAGGTTTCCCATGAGTCCCATTTTTCCTGTGTAGCAGAATTGGCAGTTCATTGCACAGCCGACCTGTGACGAAACACAAATGGTGACGCGCCTCTGTCGTCGCCTCTCACTCCTCCTCTCCACGGGTATGATGACAGTTTCGACCATTTTCCCTGCCAAAGGGCCCCTTTCAATCCTGAACACTATTTTCGTCGTCCCCTCGTCGCTCCTGTGTATCCCATGTATCTCCATCCCAGCATCGACAGTGGCTCTGCATCGCATCTTGTCACAGAAGTCCTGACTGAAGCCCTCGGGCTGTCCTACTGTGGCATCAAGATCCGATGCCCACATGCCGTCGTGATACATCCACTTCCACAACTGGTGTGCACGTCTGGGGGGTTCCCCTGAACGATATCGATTGAGCAAGATCAGCTACATATTTCCCCAAGGACTGCATTTTTCACTTCATTTCTCTTACAAAAAGCTATGTGATGATACGCTCAGATGCTCTGTACGGTATGATGATATGATGAGACATTATGTACGAATGTGTGGATGGACGGGACATTATGTACAAATGTGAAGTTGGGGACAGAGTGGACAAAATCACTGCATATCCGTGGGTGACCTGCCACGAGATTTTAACCTTGCTTCGCTTGCTGTGCACAGGTCCACACTACCAAAACACATAAGCGTTTTATCAGCTATTAGTACAGCAGGCCCGTCAAGCACTTCCTGGGTACTGTGAAGATAGTACTTTCCTGTGTACTGTGAAGCACGCAGGAAGGGTGCTAAACATGCTGGACAAAAGACAACACCGCTTGAAGCACATGCCCCCGATTAAGAGCATGAGAATGAGGCGCAGGCAGGGTATGCACATGGCTATCACAGGACTGCAACTATCCATCCTGTACTGCACGACAAGGTTTGATGACCAACCCGTGCAACTCCATACAATGAGCATCGACAAGGCCTTTTGTCGAGCAGTGCGAGCGTATAATTGGCACACACAGAGGAAAGGATACAGACTATCATGTCTCAACAAAAGCTGTCGACACGGTGTGGGAATAAGCAACCTTCTTGTGCGCTACATCTGCACGCTCCCATAGTAGCAAAAAATATGCAACAGGCCACTGGGGCAACTGATCCAAATGTGCCTAGTGTTTCCTAATTCGTTTGGTGAATCAAAGGAACGACCTGCCGATTCATACAATAACGGGAAGGAAACCTGAGATGCAGTCAAGCCCAGGAAAACAGTAATGCATCAAATATCTCAGATCTGGGAAGAGATCTTTGGGAGCTCCGCTCACGAGAAGACAGTTCATGCACACAGGTCGTGGCCCCTTCCAGACAACATTACAATTCTCCAAACAGACCATTACTCTTCCACAGATTGATAGTTCCACATGTGCTGAGCAGTCCCTGACAAGAAGGAATGTTGTCAACAAACCAAGAAAGCAAGAACCAAGCTCTGTCAATTGCAGTGACAACACTCGTGCGAATCGAATTCGCACGAAGTTGGCCTTTTCGCAGAAGGCGTGAGTGTTGGATGAATTCTGAGAAATATATGTCTCAAATCTGAAACGATGGAGCTAGCATGTTGTCTGGCGGGTGGTGGACAGATCCAGGTGAAAAGGGTGGAAGTTGGATGGCACTTGAGCTGCCTGTTTGCAATGGTACGCGTGCTTGAGCAGTTCATGCTACCTACTGCGAGGCTGCCATTGGCACACAATACACAAATTATCGAGGCAGCATCTGTCCTCCGCTGGAGCACAGAAATGTTGAATGGAGCTCCTGCTTGTGCCAGCACGATGATTTGTGGTGGGTAATGCACCAGCTGAAAAACTGATAGTCTTGAATAAAATAACCTGGTGCCTGCCCCAACAAAACTTGCCAAAGTTGCTGTTGTCATAATTGCAGTCAACTATGGGGTACTACCTGTTGGCTACCCTCTGGGCAGCTGGATTGTCAACATAGACATGCTGAGAACAATAGGGCAAATAAAATGGACTGGCTTGCCCTGCATCACCATGGCCATTTGTCTGCTAAGTCTGAAAAGTAGATGCCAGCTGGGAAGTACAGGGGTTGCAAAGACGAAGATGCCAGCAAATTCATTTCCAGATGTCCGTGAGTTGTGCTCATTACCCAAGGCAGGGCACACGTCCTCCACAAGCTGCTTCAAAGTAAAATTTTTGAGTGATATTAGCTCGTTGACTTCTTGCCGAGGGGAGAGTCCGTTGGACCTGACATCAGCAGGAACACTGCCATGCATCGGAGGCTACTCATACAAAAATTGAACAAAACATCGCTGGCCAGTTTCAAGGATGAGGGGACTCAGAATGCAGAACAATAGTAAAAATGTGATATGTATTCATTACACACATGTTTCAGGAACATTATTGGGATTGAACTTCGTGCACAAGGCAATACAAAGTCCTTGCTCCAAACATGGCAATGTAAGGCATCTGATACCGACCCTATGCCTTTTTTCCCCCAGACCAGCAGAACTTGGAAGCGAGCAGCGAGCGTTTGCTCAATGAAATATTGGTACAATGGTTTATTGGCACCGAATTCCCAAGTAACTCACTTTGGGTATTCCAGTTACTGTCAGCACTTGAACGTATAAGGGTGTCCAAAGCTCCCACTGAAGGACAACATCAAGGAATGGCCTTGTTGGTCGTGTAGGGACCTCACACAACCCTCCCCTCAACAAGGGGCCAATTGAACAACATCAATTGAGCAAGTATTGATAGCATTTTTCTGTGCCCACGATCGCCTGCAAGGCGCAAGGCTTTGGTTGTCATGGCTACTTGACAAGGGTGATCCAGTTGGAGGGTGGAAGGAACAGTTGGAGGCAGGTGGCGTGTGAACCTCCTGCTCAGTGTCTGTCAACAACCAGAACACCGCATTTTGTATGCGTTCCACATTGCACAGCTTGCATACGGTTTCAGCGTTGAAATCCTGCCTGAGCGCTTCTTGGTTGTGGCCGTTGACTGCACAGACAGCAGAACCCCGCCGGGCCCACGGGGTTAGTCCCCCAATGTGCGCGCACAGCAGCTCATGCCGCACATGCTCGGATGCCGCCACCCTCCCTTCGCCACGGCCACAGCAGGCGCTGAGTTCTGTCGCCTGCACCCGCGTGCCACGCCATCAATGCCTCTCCAGAGACTGCCAGCTGCTTGCCGAACAAGTGCTTTTGCATCCAGCACTGCAACAGCATTGCTCGCTGCTGCGTGATGTGCACACGGCAGTAACCCTACTTTCTAGCAATGCATCTGATGCCGACAATTGCCCTGTGAAAGGGCGGGCTTGATGCACCAGGAGGGGATTCGATTTCTATCGTTGCTATTCGCGGCAATCTCTTCCCAGGCAATCAAGCCGCGGCGTGGCAAATAGCATTCGAGGACCAGGAAAGCGAAGTAGCCTACCCGGAGTCCGGACTGCCGAGGGACATGCCCCACCAGCGGCGCAGCCGGGAGGTCGCCGACAGGATGCAGTGGCGACATCTGCGCGTCGAGGTGCGAGCGCGCACTGCCCAGCCCGCGCATCGTCATCAGTTCATTGTGCGACACGGCATTGCTGAAATGAAATGGAGTGAAATGGAGTTCGGTGGGGCTGAGCACCCCTATCGGTGCGTGATATTGCCCCGGCGGTGCTGTTTGGTCATCAGAATAGCGCTGTATGTCCAAAACAGTCGTGAATGTTTGGGGGAGCAATGGGACCCTGGTGCTATTTGGTCCCAAGCGGTGCTCTTTGGGCCCCGAATAGCACCGCCCAAACCCAAATAGCACCCCAGAATCGCACACGTTGCTATCAGCGCAGAACATTGCAGTGATGCCCCAATGCTTTTTGGCCAAAGTTTCCATGCCAATAGCTCCCAACGCTGCAGATGCATGCAGGGGAGCATTAGCACCAGTGCCATTCAGCAATCCCGCCTAAGCAAAGTGGCACAGTAGTCAATGAGAACTATTTCTGTATAGCACGGCCTGTGCAATGGCACCGACCAATCACGTTCGCCTGAGGACCGTCTGGAAGGGGAACTTTGGAGTGGCCAACTTCACTTGCCCTTTTGAAACGTGCTGTTTGATGGGCCTCAGGGTATCTCACGCTTGACAAGGTTTGGAACGCATGCTCTACTGAGGGCAACTTGGTCGAGTTGATGTGATACGACATCAGGCCCGGCAACGAACCCCACAATTAGGGGTTGGTTTGTATCAAGGCCTTGAGCCGAACTAAGCGCATGTGCAATGCTTCACCAGAGGTCTGCCGTGGTGCTCATTTTCGGAGATGTTTTGGCAGTGTAGTTGGCGAAAACATGAGTTTGGCAGCTCTAAGCAAGCAGAAACGCAGACGCTTTATTCATTTACCTCGGCCCAGACGAATTTCGGCGCACATGAACATGGGACCAACATACAAATCAGACTTGCTTGGAACAGTAATCCCGTACACACCGTGTGGAAGCTGAAAACAGCTCTTCTGCACCCTCTTCGTTTGACTTCTTTACTATTTTCTTGACATTATCGAGGGTACTCTGTCTTTCTACTGCACACACTTCTGATCCCATGTTCGCCTATCTGCGCTGACGGTTGTTCTCCTTTCTCACACCCGCCAAATGACGGTCGCTCCAGCCTCAAGTAATAGCATGCACCTTGCTGCAATATCTATTGTCCATGCCAGGCTATGGGTCGTTAAAACGTCCCACAAAGCAAGGCCAGTAACAGCGTTCTTTGGCTCTGCCGCAATCGAGGACAGCCACTGGCCCAGCTCTGAAAGCGATACTGGCTGAGGTGATTCATAGCATCCACCACGCTGAGGTTATGCATGTCCACATCACATCGTATCAGTTCCAGGTCAAGTCACATCACCACAAGCTTATTGCCCATGACTGCAGGCGTGGCTGCCACATCCTTGCCCCAGCCTGAGAAGACTCGAAATTGGCCCTTAAACTGTATAAGAGTCCTGGTGTAAATTTGACAGGCACACAAGCCCAACGAAATTGGAGAATGGCAACACAGTTTTGTCGGTCTGCCAAGCTGTGAATAATCAAACAACGTCTCAGCCAATACCACATTGGCAAGTTTGGCAGCTCAAAGCAACATGGCTTGTGATACAACGATGTGTATATCTTATACATGTCTGTGCATAAACAATCGTGGGCGGACAAGCAGACATGGCGTTCGGTTGGGAGCGTATCAGAGCTGGAGGATCCGAATGAGATGTTCTGAGAATTTCTAATGGCCTACAGCAATGCTGTCAGGTCCAGCGCCGCATTTAAGTGGAACCCAGTCTTCGTTGAGGTCATTAGCAGCAATGCCACGGCAATTCCAAGCATTGGTTGTTGCACATGACTACATACCAATTGCCTGGGCAGAGAAGAAGTTTTAAAAATGCTCACACCCTTGGTGCTTGCCTGAGCGCCTTGAGTGCCGCTACAATAGCCCCTGTTCACACGTTGAGGAGCTTGACGTCACAAGGTAGAGAAAAGAAATAAATTCCACACCAAGAATAATGTGTGATGTGTAGCACCGACCTTTGGTGTCGACTGCCATTCAAGCAATGGGAACAGACTGTTGCGGGTTGTCCCAACACCCAAGTCGCCTTTTAAAGTACACAAGTGTCCACAGCAATTGCCCTGGCAGCTCTTGTTTCCAAGCAGGACAAACACCTTCCAACATCAACCTCAAACAAAGCCTATCTATTCCCGCCTTGCCTGCTCCTAGTTTACCAGGTGGTGGTCAAAGGTGGTATTCAAATCAGTGGGAAGCCTTCAGGGCAGCTAGCCTTGCATTCAGTTCGTCATCTTCCTTGTCCACCTCCGGTGCATACTCAGCAGCAACAGGGGCAGCCAGCCGAGTCTTTGGGGCTGCCCCCAGCTGTGCTGTTATGTCAACTCCAATTTCATCCAGCACCTGTGCATCACAAAGCACAAACCCAATGCAAAGAATGGAGTGGCCTAATACACATCACTTTGTACAGCATTCTGGGCTTTCAACAAACACAAGAGCCAACGCCATGGCACTTTTGTTGTTTTGCTTTGTTTGAATCTCGGTCAGCAGACAGATTCATTCACTGAATTTAAATTCTTCACGCTTACAGGATAAGGGCATCCCAAGGTTGTGGCTCACCTGATTCATCAAGTCGCTTGTCTCATCCTCTGTTTCCTCATCATCCATCACATTGTCAATCGCATCGCCCACCATCTCTGTAGCAAGCTCTTGCTGCTGGCTCTGTTTGGCAAACTCCACCATAGTTTGCTGCATCTTCTGCGGATTCACAGCTGCACCAACGGCTTGCATGGCCCCAGTGGCCTTCTTCATGGCATTACCAACTGTCGATGTGGCCGCGGCAGTCTGTGACACAGATAGTGCAGCAGCGATGAAATGATATCGTTTCATCTCACCAATGTGTAGCACCTAGCCAATCTTTGAGTTCCCCAAATGGAGACTCCACCATGTACCGCTATGGCCCTTCCCAGACATATCAGATTGGTTAGAATATGGGCAATATCGTGAAATATTAAAACAGCAGAAATCTATTGGCAGGGAGGTAACTGCAGAGTCCCACATAAAAAGCAGAAGCCTTCCAGACAGACAGACAGACATGCCTGCCAGCCCCTGGCTTGGCACAACTCACTACTGCCCATTCTTGTGTGCAGCAAGTTGATGCACAGCCACACAAATTGGCAACTTACAGTCAGTGTGGTGCTGACGCCTTTGATGTGGGCCACGCTTGCTATGAGTTTGGACTGCTGCGCCCTTAGGCGCACCAGTGACTTTGCCAATGTCCTCGTCCCTGCTTGGTTCCCCTGCTTGGCTGACTGTTTTATCTGTTGCACCAATTTCTGTTCCTCTCTTTTTAGCGACGCCAGCTCCCTCTCGAGGTCTGCCAGCACACCGATAACTCCTTACTTCATTACAATAGGGTTAGGCGGGCATCACTGGCCAAGATTGCTGATCCTGATAGTCACTGTGGATTCGCAACAGTATGGTATGCGAGATGAATGATGGGAGGGTACGCTTCTGGGCTGCAATTGAGCACCTTAATTTGAGATGAAGCAGGGTGTTTGCCCAAGAAGTGTTATTCTCCAAGTGAATTGTCACGAGTGCGTGTTGAGCGTGCATTCCAGCTCATCTTTACGGGAAGGCTGGAAATGCAGATTCTGCTCTTGCGCTGCGTGCGCCTTGCTCTGCTGAATCCCGGATTCGCACAGCGGGTGCGGGAGATTTTTCGAGTGCATCCTAGTTGACAAATCCGATGGGATATACCACAGATTGTCGCGAATGCTTCAGCATCGAAGAAGGCGATTCCACGACCCCCATTTCCGTCGTGCAGCACGCGATTCCGGAGAATCGGCCGCAGCTCACCAACGAACGGTGCTGGGAGTAAGGGGAACATGGGCGGAAGCCATACATTGACGCAAACCCACCATAGTGCCCCACCTCTCACGCCCTTCCCAATGTCCCTCTGCGAGGAGCGCACTTGCTCTGCCAAGGCGCACACGGCATCCCCAACGGTCAAGGCAACAGCCGGGACCCGCACAAGCAGCACCTGGCCGGCGGAAGCAGGGGCGCGCCAGTCGAAACCCACCCTTGACATCAACTTTTTTCCTGAACATGGTGGTGAAGCCCGACGCCGTTGGGCAGCAGCAGCAGCAGCCGACGACTGGCTTGGCACGCAGCGGCGGGACAGGAGGCCTTGGACAGTTCAGTGGGCGCAGGGCAGCGAAGGGGGGAGCCGTGCTGGTGGGAACCTGGGTGGCCTCGGGTGCCCACTCGCGTTGTTGCCGCTGCCCTGTCCTAAACCGTAGCCAGGCGCCCACTAAAGAATTAGGGCAAGTCTGCAGAGCCGGCGACGAGGTGATGTAGTCACCTGTGGGTATACTTTTGCTCTCATAGGCACTCGCCAATTGTGGAACAAAGCAGCCAGTGCGTCATTACACGCCACTTGCAACGGACCTCCTTGGCCTGTTGTGGTTTCTCGTGTTTTGCGATGCCAGTCCCAGGATAATCTGCCGCTTGAGGGGAGGTCACCGGGCCCTGACTCAATGGTGAACTGCTCCATTCGGGGTTCAAATTCTGAGCACGATTTGGAGTTTAATTGAACAGAAAGGAGCTCTCCGCTAGAAGTATACCAGTACGGCACCAGATCCATGAAGCCAAGCATAAAAAGCTACCTGATCCTCAGGTACGCACTACTCCTTGCCCGAATGCCAATCGCAGCCACATGATCTGGGTAGCATAACTTCTGTGCAGGCATTGCGATGCAAGGCTGCCATGAACTTCCTGAATTTGGTTGCTCTGAGTCTTCTCCACAATTAGCATGCGCCAGTGTAGCAGCTGAAAAGTACTTAAGTAACTTGAAGCCAATTTCATGGCGGGCCTGAATGAAACTTGGTGAAGACTCCAGATTTGATTTTCAAAATCGGTTAGCACCACTTACAACTTGCACGCTTCCCTGACACATGAAAAATATGCCCTCTTGAAGTCATGTATGCGTTGCCATATTTGTTTCCATCCTACTAACCACTTTTGATAGGCTTAATCCAAGTTCTTTCGGACTGTTATTGATCACCCAACACTGGCAATTGCACCCCACGGCTTGTTTTACCGGCATGTGCAGATACATCGCCTGGCTGATGAGAGCCAGCCCTTCAAATTGCAAAAACTACATCATCAGGCCTGTTGCGCAGCAGCCAATATGCTGAACAGGAACTACCTTTACAACTCTGAAAACCCCACTGCAGGAAACAGCATGGTCATGAAAATGAGATGCGTTGAAGACTTCTCAGGAGGGATTCTGTGTCAATATCCGTTCCCCAGGGGCATCTCGCAGCACCTTTCAGATTCTGGCCAATTTCCGCTATTCGTGACTCCTGCATGCGCATGCCGCCATCTGGCAATAGCTCGCAGGTAGGGCGACCAGCGCACAGAACGTGGTTCACGTCATCCTCAACGTCAATCTCCAGTAGTTCGGGAAAGACCCCCTGCCGAGGCAGCCAAACAGATGTGAGGGCACTGAACTGCAAATCGTCATCTAGCCACCGCACTGGTACACATATGCAACTGCAGTTAAACAACCACACACAAAGCCGGCATCTGTGTTTGTCCCAGATCCTTGCAGTGCACAGTTTGGCAAGCTGGTCGAACGAAACGCCAACTTAGCAGTTTTGAAAGTTCCAAATGTTCACATTGTACGAAGTTTTGGGGCTTTTCCTGCTGGCCCCACTGCTATTTACAATGCAGTTATATGATTTCACGCCCTTCGAACACGAGGCGCACAAGCATGAACAGGGTAATGAACTGAGAAATAGCAGCACAACGATACCTGGATCGCCTTTGCCACATCTGCACGGCGTTCTGATGAGCGAGCAACACAATTCACGACTAGAATCCCATCATCGCTCAAAACATCTTTCACAGCTCGGAGAAAATCCTCCTCAAGGAAGGCCAGCGGTGGCGCCGATATTCCTGCTGATACGTCCAGCGATCCCGCATCAAGGACAAGCAGATCGACAGCATAATGGGGACCCTGCAGTCACAACCACAGATCTTCACTTTCGTGCAAACAGTTCCAAAACGAAGCCGGAGCCGCGCAAGGTGAAATTTGCACGGGCCTTTCTAGTGCTCATGCCTCTGTCGCCAGCTCTTTCTCCACGAAACTGCATATAGCAACTTAACAAGCGAGTACTGCTGAGTCCTGCCACTCCAGCAGTCTGCTCCAAAACCATGCAAAGATAACGCAAGCGCCTCAGCGAAGCCAAGAGCTGCATTCGCTCGGCACGCATACACATGATGTTTCGCCGTCGCATCATATCACACCACATGATCACAGTTGTCAGAGCAAATTGAATGACATAAATCATTGCCAATCTGAGCGCCTTGCGTATTGCAAATTATGATTCCCTCAAATGAAAGAAAACACGAGCCAGAGCATGACAGTTTCAACAACATGGATGCACATTGTAACAAGGACCTACGCGGTACCACCACTGCTGGCAAGACTGGCGTTGAAGGTGCAAGGCAGTATGTCGTCAGAATGGCCTAAGCAACTGATTCCAAAAGTGCCAGTACTGCCAGGGCACTGGCCTCACTGACGTACCTGTTCCTGCACCAACGTGCTTCGCTGTTTCACTGCCTGAATGCCGTCTCCCACGGTTGCTCGCATGTGGTTGCTATTCTCAAATCCAAACCATTTCTGTGCAACGTCCACAACAACTGGATCCAACTCAACAACTTCAACATCCAAATTGAAGTGGCGCCCAAGAAACATGGGCAGTCCACCACCACCTAAACCCACGACCAAAGCTTGAGGCAACCCTGAAACACCACCCTGCCTGTGCCGATCTTTGAAAAGCGCCCTGCCGGTAAGCCCCAGGCAAGCAACAATGGCCTGGTGGTAGTTCATGGGCAAGTGGCTGTGATCGACGCTCAGCGCTGACGTGGGCGGCAGAGTGTGCAATCCTGGAGAATAGGGTACACACTGTTGATTGCCGCTGCCATGCATACAAGAAGAGACGAAGGACAACACATGCTGGTAAGGGTCATTGACTTCTCCTAAAGTGTTCAAGTCATTTACAGGTCCAAGTAAGACGATGTAAGACGAGAGACGTGCATTTGCGGGAAGATGACAACCTCCAGAGAGTCTGAACATGTTAGGAAAAGGTAAATGCAATTACTCAAATCCAAGATACACAGGAAAATCCAGTCGGGTGGCACAGCATCTGCACAGGAGTTTGGTCAGCACAACGGATTGATGCAAACCCGCACCTTTCTTTCTCTGCGGTCTGCTTGATGTGTTGGCATTGTCAGGTGCCTTTAGGCTCAAGATGACCTCTGATTGGATCACGGAACTGTTTGAGACGAACACCAGCCGTCTCAAATAGCGACCGTCGTCCAACTCCACATCTTCAACAATGATACGACCTGCAGACACAGACACAGCCTTTCTCTTGGCAATGTTGTGCTTTTCATGATACTATTGACGCTGGCCTGTGGCTCAATGGATTGGGTACCAATAGCAAAACTCTTTGATGCAATGCGCTCCAAGCCCATCAAATCAAAAACAAAAGTAAGTTGAAATTGCCCAATGCATATTTGATGGTACCCGTTAGTCGCTCATCCAGCCGGGGCTAGCAGCCCCAGTCCAAAGCATTGCCTGGTGCATCTGCACTGCACCAATTGGCGCAAAATTTATAGAAGCAATCAAAGACAAGCATGGTCGAATACCACATGTTTGATCGTGGCTGACAAAATAAATTGCCAGCTGAAAAGATCACAGAATTTGTCATCGTTACAAGAAGCACAGAGCAGTTGGAAGCAAAATGTGCTGTTGATACCTTGTAGGTACAACACGCTGGTTACTCACTAGAGCTATGTAGCCACAGGAGACTTTTGAAAGGATGCTATTCTAGTGCAACATCACAGACAGGGAACAATAGAACTGACAATCAGCTACAGAAACATCAAATCTGAAATTGGTGGGAACTGACCTGACAACTTCGATTCCACCTTGTCTCTCACTGCCTTCCTGCCAATACCCTCGACTGCCGTCATGTAAGGTATCTTCTTGGGCTGGAACCGCACCGATGTGGGTGCTAGGTCAAGAACCATTGGTGACAGTGTGGCCTGGGTAGCAGAAGACATCTATGTCAGCAAAGGCTCGCCCTCAAATGAATGAACAAATTGTTGAGACATGTACCAGTGTACCCTGCAAAGTGCTTTTGTACAACGGTGAAGCTGTGCATCGCCTTGTCAATTCCTTTGTCATGTGATAGTTCATTGATGTCCACCGCAAAGTGTGGACCACTTCCCCGTCCAATTGCTAAGAGCAACTTGGGGCCATTTGGCCTTTAACCTGCTTCCCACCAGCCACCAGTGAGCTTGCTCTCATGAGCTCCTTGAAAATGGCAAACTTCTTGTGGGACCTGATCGATTGGTAGAACACATCGGATCCTTGGCAATATTGCTCCATGGTACAATTCCACACAAAGAATTGTGCAACCAGCACGTGCCAAGCATCTCCTGAGAAAAAGGATCATTGAAGTTGGGGAACAAAGATGCCACCATCTCTTGCCGATGCACCACCAAGCAAGCACAAGGCAATGGCCACCACCGATGTGCAAGTTCAGCAATCTGGCAACCACATGCCCAGATAGTTGAGGCAGAAAATTGATCCTGGCAGATACGGCTGTTGCCATCCACTATGCCGCCCACTGACAGAATCAATATGCGGGATGATGCACAGAGACATGCCTTACTGCCAAAGTTCTGGACTTTACGTCCACTTGCTTTTCAACAGAAAGTTGTGGTAGCAGCAGCGATAAAGGCAGGCCAATGGGATATTACACCATTGCAACTGCTTGTAACACGCCAGGAAAACTGTGAAAGGGCTGCAATGGCTCGAACCCACCTGCAGAGCATGCATATCTGCTGCCTGGCAACCACCAGCAAGGGCCACCAGCACCAGACGCTGTGCGTTGCACTGCGAGCTCACCTCCCACTGGCCTTCTGGGGTGGAATACAACCTGCAAAGGCAGTCATGCACATAAGAACTGGCTAAACAGGCCAGTGTCCCAGTCAGACATTCTTTGAAAAATGGAGAAAAACCAGTCACACAGTGAGCAGCCCCTCCTGAGCAAACTTCCTCCCAACTCAAATTGAAACAAACTGCAGATGGCCGAGACGTGCCCCAGACAATCAGGACAAGGATGCAACACAATCTGCAATACTAGTCATCCATCATTCAAACATGCAGTTGCCTGAATACTCTTGACACGACCACCACCTAATGCATGCTTGGCTGTGCTGGCTGTTGCTAGGGACAGCATCTGCTCAACAGAAATAGAAAAATCCTTGTGGGGATAGGATCTCAACAAAACACACGAATTGGCCCTGTTGACCACACAGCATCGCTGTATGCACACTTGAGGCGATGTCTGCATTCGTTGGTGCTGTTGATGCTGCTCCTATTGCTGCTGCTGCTGTAGTTCTTCATCTGCTGACAAGGAGTCCGATCATATGTGTATACAAGAGATGGGACCATGGACTGACAATTTTTTGCTGGATCTCATGCACCTGATCAATTCATTTGGGGTCATACCTTCGCCTTGCACAATGCTGTGAAGCAGAATAATGTCCACATCAATAATGATGGGGCCAAGTTAGCACCTAAAGTCTCAAAAGCATTGCCAAAATTGGCAGCTTGGAAAACAAGCAATTACATGTAATGACTCAATTAGGGCATTTGGGTTCTCAAAGACCGTCCAGAGGCTGGTGCAGTGCAATCCAACAGGCCCTGGTGACACATGGCAAAGTGTGCTTAATTCACTGCACAGAGCGAAGCATGTCAGCCACTTCTGACAAGTCCATACATGCAGGAGTGAGTCTCACCATTCACTCTCCTTGCCTTGAGGCACAATGAAGACAGCACATTCCATGGCTTCCCCTCCTGTGTTTTGTGTACTGTCCAGAACGGAAGCAAGAAACATGGGGTGGCTGCTCCCATCCGTGCCCTTTCCTTGTGGCAAAGACAGTACAACTCGACGGCCAGGATGGAGGATGTCAAAGCCCTGACCTGCTGCCAACGATGTGCCTTGCTGCCGGGCAGAGTTATCATCATCTACCATCTGATGTGCACTGTCCAAGCAGAAATGACTCAAAATGGCTCAAATTCCAAGCATTGCCTGGCATGATTTCCCTTGTGTAGCAAAGTGACAACAAAGTGACCTGTGTAATGATTGGGTCCACACTGTTGCTCACTTCAGCACATGGTGCTGCCAGTGGCTAGCCAAACAAGCGTGTCTTGCATATTGCGAAACAACCCCATTGCGCTGCAGCAGTGATGCACCAACAGCAACAACTTAACCCTACCTTGAAAACTCCAGCCACTTGCTCCGCATTCTGGCCCAGTACGGCTTGGGCCCTCTCAAACGCCAGTTCAATGAGTGGCATCTCATCATTTTGGTCACCTCCACCTCTTCTGCAGATCACGACAAAGGGTTGGAGACGAGAGTTGGCCATGTCTGCTGGAGGAGGTATCTGATGCAATGAAAGTTGCCAGTTGCTTGTGAAATGACCAAACAGCGTCCCTGCAGATTGTTGTACAACCAAAAGGAATTCAGTTGGTTTCCAGCCCAAGCAAATAGTTGTCATAACACAGGAGTGGCAGTGTCCATACCTAAGGCATCCTTGCAAAACATGGGGTCAAGTGCACACTAACACCAGTGCATGCCAGACAGGGCACAATACCCAGCACTTCAGGGCAATTCCAAAGATGAAAGAACACAATAGTGCCCAAGTTAAGGACATCTTTGCAAAGTTCACCAATGTTATCAAATTGGACGGCACGGATCAACACGCTCTGATCTGGAAAGGGACTGTGAGCTGGTGTCCAACTCCCTGTAGAACTCACTCAAAACATGTCGCTGTCCCAGAGTTATGCATATGTAGGTGCCAGTCCCTTTGTCCAACACTCTTGACACCTAACAGCACCAAAATCATCATGAATTCGAATCATTGTTCGGCATCTGGCATCTCGCACAACACTGAGCATCAAGCACACAACAGTTCCTGCCAAAGATTTTTCCGGTGAATGATGTTTCCCGGACTTGCAAATCATATACAAGATTTACAGCTGGAGAAATACTTGGTGAATCAGTGGGAACACAAGCACCGCAAATTTTTTCATTTTCTGAACAGCTATGAGGCAGATCATCTTGCTGCAAGTCACTGAGTCAAGAAACCACCGTTGAGTTCAACAAGTGCAACCTGAAGCCATTGCAGCATATTCTATGTGGTGGAACAGTTGTGGTGGAACAACTCAGATTCCTGCTTGGATGCTTTCATGCCATACCTACTGTGCTGCAAGAGTAAATCAGTTTCCACCTGAATACCTCAACCCTTCCCCGGACTACCCTGTGTGCCAACGCTGCTATGAGTACCTGTTCTGTGTTCTGTGCTCCTCTGTTGCACCTCAGGACATGCACATCGTGATTCACAGTACGTAATAGAGCCTCACAAATTCTTGCGAAGGCGGCAGAATGATTCCCCGTTGCCAAGAGGCAGTTTTCACTGTGTCACCAATGCTGTTGTGCAGGCAGACATGCTTGAGTGTTTCCACAACTATTGCATCAATGTGTTACACGAATCTCAATGAAAAAGCCACACACCTCAGAAGTATATGCAGCCCCAGCCGACACTGCTGCACTGTTATCCTCACCCATTAGGGCATCCAAACCACCCTTGTCCACGAGCACATCAAAAGCCCCATCTTCAAACTGCAGAGAGATGCATGCACACCCTCCAGCTAAAGTTCATTGAACAACGTGATGAGAACTGCGAATGAGATTCAGTCAAGTTCCATCCCTCACATGGTATCTGCCACATAAATGTTCTATGCCCATGCGACTTCAAGTGCTGGCCAAGCAGAGAACAACAGCAACTCCAGCTAGGCCTGATTCTGCAAGCATGCCAGAAGAGTATGAGCTGCCTCTTTGAATTAACCCTATGTGAGGATCGTATTGTAAAACACAAAAAACGCAATTCACAATTGGATCCCTAAGTACAGGGGGGTGCTGGGAGCTTGCTGCTTTGGAGAAGCTTTTCAATCGCCGCTTTTCTGCCTCCTACCCGCATTTTGGTCATGTCCATCACCATCCATTTCATTTGTGGCCTGCTCCGCACGTTTTTCGATAGCATTTCACGGATAACCACCTTGGAAAAGTCTATGTTGGTGATGTTATGAATTCCATCATCATACCTGCAGTGTGGAGGAATGCAATCTTCAGAATCCGCTGTGTCTTCTTCAGCAGGGGACAGCGATGCTGAAATGTTGAATTGAGAACAGGACATTCATGGCTGCTACATCAGGAGGTGCCCACATTATGCTCCAGTGTGGAAACAATGTCACAAGAATTTGCTCAGGATAATAACTGCCACTGCAGTCTGCCTCCTGAAACTGTTTTGCAGTTTGTGTTTTAGGGCTTTAGGCACATCAAGTACGAAAGAAGTTACGGTTTAGCAAAAGAACTGCAGCGCAAATTGGATGACTCTTAGGAGAGTGTTGCCCAGCTGCAGCACATGCTTTCCTTTGCGTTGAAGAGCAATACGCTGCAAGTGGCAGCTGGGTACCCGACAGCTACAGCCGCAAGTATGGCGAGTAGCTTCGCATGAGAGCCGATTCACAGCAGGTTTCGGTCAACGCGAAAGCCAGGAGCCGATCTTATCGTACCACCCACAACCCAAATGTCCGTGCAGGCTGTCCATTGACACGATTTGGCACCAAACAATCCGCCGGGAAATCGTTGCTCTTTCCTCGCGCACGCGTGACTTCCGGGAAGGTCGTCCTTAGACTCCCGTGGCTCTCACATTTGGCTGGACAGCTCTGAATTGCCGCAGCCGGCCATGAGGATCTTCTTTCCCGTGCAGAATGGCATTGCCACGTTCTTGAGCTCGCCCCATTCTCCATACCACTCGAACGGCAGCTCCCGCCGCTCCTTGAAGAACCTGTCCCAGTAGCCCACCGAGCGGAACTCGTCAAAGTTATTGGGGAGCAACTCCATGGCGTCTGGTGCAACGGCAGTGGCGGACGGTGCGCATGCGAACGGCCTAAACCCCTGGCGTTCTGCAGACACAAAGTACTGCGAAGCTGGGCCCGCTGAGGCCAAACAGTGAGAACCAAGGTGAACCCAACACCATGAAACTCCAAAACTGACATGTCTTTTTTTTTCTGAATTCCAACGTGAACTGATATGTCTAAAAGTAAGAAACGGGTGGATGGCAAGCACCCCCCCCCCCCAAACAAGCTGTCGACACTCTAAAGCCGGATTTTTGGAAAACTGCTGCGATTGCCCTTATCTGGGCTACGGATTTGCATGACAAAATGGGCAGAAATACACCAAAAACGGCCATCGAAACATGTTTTCCTTCCAAAGAACGGTGCGTTCAAGGTACAGCAACAGGGAAAGCTACCAATGGGAAAATTGTACATTGCTGGCCGCAGAAACAGCTGGGAATGTTGTTGGGTGTCGACTTGAGAACACCAGGCACAACGTGCTGACGAGGATCCAAAGGCCACTTTCGTTTGGAATCTGGGAAACAAGGAGTTCATGCATGACATCAATCGATTCTTTTCCCATTTGCAATTCCAAATGCGGATGGCATTGTTGAAAGCCACAAGTACGCCGTTCACCCGTCGGCCGCAGTGAAATATGTTATGGAAGTATAGAGCCCAATGCTGCGTTTGGAAGGTTGCAAACCACGGCAGACACGGAGCATACGTTTCTCCGGCCATCATTATGTGCAAATTGCAAGGAGATACTCGCCAGAGATGCTTTTGATACAATCTAATTCTACCTTCAGTGGGGTTTTCTGTGCCAGAAAGATGATAGATTTCGCATGAGTCTTACCCTCACATAAGCTTTAACAAAATCGCTGAAACAGGTTCACCAGGAACGCTTGATGTGCTGGAACTCGACTAAGTATTGCAATATGGGCTGTGCGCCTTTGGAACATCTTTCGCCAGCGGGCTCGACGCGCTTTCCACTCCGTGTGCTGCAAAACATATTTAGAGATTGCGGAGCCATCTAGGAGCTGCCAGCCCCCAATTTGTTTGTATTTCTTTAAATTGATGCTGCACCCTGTTCAGATGTATTGCCGATATGGCTTTCTGTCATCGCTCATGAATTGGACATCTGGCGGCGTTGATCGCCCACAAAAAATTGGCATGTGAGTAAGACGCGATGTTCCTATTTTCCCATAAAATCTCGGAAAATAGAAACGTTGCAACCTCCTCGCATGCAAATACTATGGTGTTGCGCATTCTTTCTAGTACTAGAACAATACATTAGTGTCGCACCGGCGCCAGATTAAAGCGAGATGCTCTCAGCATTCGAAGAAAATGGCATTCAAAGAAGACAAATCCGAACATGTCCGGCCAATGCCATATGGATGAAGACATGTGTGGATAGTCGAGTTGCGCACAATCCACGACATTGCTGGACTTGCAGTCACCCCATGCACTAATTTGTCACATTCCAGACATTCCAGGAATGAATTGTCCTAGGAAAAGATTATTGAGGCTCCTGTTCACCACGTGTATACTTAGTTTCCGGGCATGAGTAAAGCACATGGTGATGTACAATGTTGGATGAAGCACTGAGCCGCAAAGTCTTGCGCCATTATTTGTGTCACTGTAGCGTTTGCAGGAAAATTGTGCAGTGCATCTTAAAAGCAGCTGGTTTTGAAACTTTTCGCGCAGCTTTGCATGTCATCCAACAGTTCTGCACAGGGCGTCTGTCATGATCTTTCTGTTATTTCCTAGCTTGAAATGAATTTGAAAGTGGGTTAATAAGCGCAATCATCAGACTTAATGATGGTATATTTCAGGAAATCTGTGAAATTACAATTCACTTATTTGCTGCTAGGGTTCGGCAGTCTGCCTCTCCATCTGTTCAGGATGCTGGATGCACGAGAAAATAGTTTTCCTCATTGACATCCCTGTCGATGTGGCTTGTCCGGAGCGCCTCATGTACGTAAGATACGAGAAAGCTGGACCTTCCTTTTGCAGACCATCTGCTGTAAACAGGCCTTGAATGTCGGGTCCAAGTAGGCAGCTGCGCATTGTGGCCGCTGTGATGCTTCCTTCGAACCGAAAATATGATTTGAAATCGAATGCGCATGTCACGTGCACTCTCCGTTATGTATATTCTACAATGCGGTACTGCTAGAGAAGGTATTGTGAGCACAACTGGGGCACACCAGACAGTATGAAACCTCCATAGCTGTTTCGGCCGGGTGTATTCTTCAGTAATACCGCCAGAATTACTGCAAAAACGCGCGTTTGTGTATTTGCTCTGAATCTGTGGATGAACAGTTTGAAACTGATATTTTAAAATGAAAATGCAGAATTAAATGCACAGATCCATGAACGCTATGCACAATTTAGCCCCAACCCACAGATGAAATTTGGTGCTTTGGATTTGCGACAATTTTGCCAGAAATACTGCAATACAGTTTTGTTGTTTTTAAATAGGAACATCTTCGCGGTGCTTGTTGTCGCGCGCATCCCGACTGGTCCATTGATGCAGTTTGGCACCGCCACGTCACCTACAATGAAATTAAATATTAGTGACACTGCACAACGTACGCACTGGCCGAGATTTGTGAATTATCGATGCCAGTGCGAAGCGACAGTTTTCATTTCCAGGCAGTAAAAATTGCTCTCGTTGACGGGAAGCAGGAACATACGAATGTGGTAATCTCCGGCACCCCCGTTGGGGGCAGCGGCGAGGAGTGCCTGCGAAACTCATTACGGGATTGTCGAGCAATTGACCACAAATGCGGTCAACACGGAACCCCGAAACGCGTCGGCAGTCATGAGATGGCGGCAACCAGGACAAAAGCGGGGCAGGCCGCCGAGAGGCTGAAGGCGGCGATCGCCTCGCACCTAAACAAGGACCCAGCCAACTGGGAAAAGAACAAAGCGTTCCTTAAAGCCATTGGCTCATGCGACAGGTTCTTGTGGGACAGAGCCAGCACGCAGGCCGAGTTCGAGCGCCTGAAGGACGAAGTTAAGGCGACGCTGCTGCAGCGGTCCGGTGGGAAGGTCAGAGCGCTGAAGGGGCATGCTGAGGCGCCGCGGCGGGGACGGGTCTCCACCGGGACGGATGCTGATGGAGGGGCGAGCCCGCAGCGAAGCTGCTCGACCGGCCACGTGGACTGGACGCTCCCGCCTCTGGTGCTCGAGAGGAAGGCTTTTGCCATGGCGGATGACTTTGGCAGGATGACAACCCTTCAGGACGAATGGGCCAAAGTACGGGCAGTCGTTGTTTGGCTTCACGCTTTGCAGCTCTCTGATGAATCTCAGTCAATGTGGCAGTTTTGTGCAGCATTCAGCTCAGCCCTTGCTCCAGGTGTTCGACCATGGATACGCAATTGCAGTGTATCAAAAGTGGTTTGCTGTTGCAGTAGGGAATGGCGGTTCAACATTACTATTCCTTGGACCGGGGACGTATGCCGTTTTCTCACCTTGTCATGAATTTTCTTCGATTCAACTTAACTGATGCTATACAAGTGGTTCGCCAAGCAACGCGGAGGCAAAGATTCTGAATATGCGGACCAATAAGTTCATAGGACGAAGCCATGAGCAGCGCATGCAATTCTATGACCAGGAGTCGCCCATGGATGCACGAAGGACTCCTGAACGTAAAGTTGCACAAACATAACGATCGTCTACTCAGTACTGAGAACAAAGATGTCGACAACGACTTGAACAAACGCTGATAAACATTCTTGGTTATAGATGGATGACGGGGAGCGGTGGGCCAAGGGGCGCCAGACCCAAGAAAAGATTAGCCGCGACCTGGACGGACATCGGCGGGATCAAAGGCTCTGGAAGGCTCATCTATAAACCGGGGCTCGCGGCTGAAGTCCGGATCGGCTCTTTCCGCTCGCCCTAACAATCGGCAAAACTCAGCTCTTCAAAAGGCTCAGCAGGCTGAAGAGAATCGCGCGATGCTGCGCAAAGCTCAGGTATCGCACTTCGCACAGGCCAGCAAAAATGGAGAAGAATGCTCAACTGGGACAATTGCAATGGCCATCACCCTGTTCGGCCCTCTTTTGAAGCTCAATGCAATAAAGAATGAGGATTTACAAATTAGCGCTGTTTTGGCAGCTCAGGAGATATGTCGCACTGCAATTTTGTTGCAAATGTCTGCTGGCACTCTGGAACGGTAGTAGAAGTAGCTGCAACATCTTACACTATGGGTGTTGACAGCATAGACTGGTAGTACATGAAATACGAGGGCGTTGGAAGGGTTGTATGCAATGACCGTGGCACCTTTGCGCTCATTCTGAAGTCACAAAATTGAAAGGGAATGGATCATATGGCGAATTGTAGCCCTCACCAAGACATGTTCATGATTCAGGGTGAGTGTTCGCCATCATTTCCATGGTACTGACGATTCCATATTCCATAAGCTTTCCACAAGTTTTCCAACTCAACACCCCAAGAAACAGCGGCTAAAACCAGAAATGCGGCAGGTGGAGAACATGGCAAAGCAGAAAGAGAAGGCGCGGCTGGCTGAGAAGCGAAAGGCCGAGGAGAAGAGGTGCACGGAGGAGTACTCGCGGGTCCTGGAAGAGCGGGAGATCCAGAGGGAGAGGGACATCGCCGCCGTGAAGGAGAGGCAGCGCCTGATGCTGGAGCGCGGCGGCGGCCCCTCCCTGCAAAAGAGCCTGGAGGAGCAGGCAGCCCTGGCGGAGGCGCGGGCGAGGCGAGATCAGGAGGAGTACGACGCCAAGCAGGCGGCCCTGCAGGAGGAGAGGGAGCGCAAGATGAGGGAGCGGACGAACGAGCAGCTGCTGTCTCTCGGCCAGCAGGTCGAGGCGCGCAATCGGGAGAGGGCAAGGGAAAGGAAATTGGAGAGGGATTACGCTGACCATGTGGCGGCGAGGGTGAAGGAGCACGAAGAAATGAGAAAAGAGGAGAAGCGGGCTTTTAGAGAGCGGCAGAGGCGGCTGCTGGAGGAGCGGAAGGCGGAGATCAGGGAGGACGCCAAGC